CAGTACGCGGGCATCTTGGCAGCAGAAGAAGAGGGACTAGCGGCACGTCTCGGGCACCAGTGTCTTCGGGACTTGCACGATCATGCTGCGGTACAGCGCCTAGTGAAGCGCTTGTCTCGCAAGGGACGGGGGCCTCGTCATCGACGCTACTTCGTGGCGCGGGATGAGAATTGGGAGGCGCACGATGTAAAGCAGTATTCGATGAAGCCAGTTATGGAAGGTGGTTTGGGTGCCCAGGCATACGACCTTACACGGGAGATGGAGGTTCGTTTCGACGACACCCACGAGGGGGACGAGTCCACGCACACGGACCAGCAGAAGTATTGCGCGATGCAGTTTGCGGACTGGGGCCAGGCGCGGGACGACCTGACGGGCATCACCATTCAACCACGATGTTCGCCCGAGCGAAGGGCGACACCACAGTGGTCAATTTCTTCAGAGTTGTGGCTGATTCTCTTGGACGGGGAGCAGTGGTCGAAGTTTACTCGCGGCGGCGGCAACGACATCAGACCGTCGACGGCGCAGGGTTTCAACGAAAGAATCGCGGATATGCTGGCAATACAGGGGGCCTTCCAGATCGAAACTCACTCGGGACCTGTAGCTCTCAGGCCGACGACGGGGGAGATGGCAGGACATCCTAACCCAGCTAGGGCTTTTCCTTATTATTTGAAGGGAATCGAGCCGTTCCTCTCCTATCGGCACGCTGCTAGCTCGGCACAGTACGCTCTGGCACGTGAGCCCGACTACACGACGACGGGTGGGGGGATCACGATCCACGCTGACGACATCATTGCAGACCGACAAGCCGCAGTCGCTTTTGATAGTCGACGCGCCCTACAAGAAGTTTGTGTCGGTGGCCTCAAAAAAGAGCTCGCGCTGATAGTCAGGCTCTTCAGGCACAAGAAGTGCTACACCGACAAGTACACGAGGATCCAGCTCTCCATCGCAGACACCCTCCACGCGCCACCAGCCGATGCACGGACGAGATATCGCACAGCAAGTTGGAGACCGAAAGCGCCACGATCATCATGCTGGAGGAGCTCGATGGTAAGGCGAAATGGGGGGCGGACCCCCTCAGGGGGCACCTGAAGATTCTGGCGCAGAAGCTATTGTACAGGACGAAGTCTCGAGGGAGGCAAAAGGAGGCCGCAAGAAGTAGCGCGGGAAGATCACACGGCAGCACTCCGTTAGCGTATTCGGCAGAAAAGAACCACATATTCCGGTCATTTAACGGGTTGTGGTCGCCGCCTCAATATCCGATTTTTGTGGGGATCATCGCGCATGGTTGATTCGGGAGCATCGGCCCCGACATATGACGCATGCTTTTGGACAGTGACAATTATTTCTTTTTACGACGAGGCAGGTTCCCGACGGCGTATTCTATCCTGGATGGTTCTTGATCGGAGTTTCTTGGATTGCGTTGCCCCTGGTTTATTTTTTAGCGTGCGGATGACCTTCGCCACCTTCGACAGCGGCTACCCTCCTTCTACACTTTCTGGAGTATCACCATGTACGCTTGTTTATTTGCATTACACGGATGGTGGTTCTGTGAAGAGCATCTCCAGTGGCCTAGAAGGTTTCGGCCTCGGCTCCTGCGAAGGCGGCGGGGGCGATGTGCCCAGCGCATGGCCCCCGCCTGCACCGACCACTCACCTCGCTACCATCATGGCGGGTGAGCTACTCAGCTTCCCGCGCCCCCTTTTTTTTTTTTTGTTTGTTTTTTTTTTTTTTTTTTTTTTTTTTTTTTTTTTTTTTTTTTTTTTTTTTTTTTTTCTGTCCCGTCGGGCTCCTCGGGCCCCCTTGTCGGCCAAGGCCTAGCGGCCGCGGCCCCTGAGTCGGGGAGTTTCAGATGTCACCAGAGGCGCTTCGGAGTGGCCCTGAGAGTTGGGTGCTGTGTGCGCCTCGTCTCCTTTAGGGTCCGCGTATCACCTCTTTAGGCCATCGCGAGTGCCCGCTGCAGAGGCCAAGCCACGAGCTGCGCACTTAGCATTCTTTCGGGCTAGGCCAGCGGACTCTGGTTAGGTCGCCCCGTTCTCTTCATCATGAAGCGCGCGATGGGCTACATCACGCGCAGGGGGTCCAACGTGGGGCCGCCGTGCCCCCCAAGGCTCTCGGCCGAGAAGGCCGCGCTGCGATCCAGTGCGAAGCTGCTGGAGGTAGTGCAGAGCCCCCCCCCCCACGCCTCCCACGCCTCCCCTTTGCTTTCTCGTTCTTGGATCGGCGGATGAGGGTGGAGCGAGGAGGGGGCGCGGTGGGGACTTGGAGCGACGAACCTGGCATTTTTTTTTCGGGGACAGGGGGGGCGCCTTGGACGCCCAGCCAGGCGCGCCCAGTGCCGATGGCCTCGGGCCCGTCGAGGCCCGAGGGGCATCACCCCCAGCCCAGCGAGACATCGTGCATTGCTTCTTCCTGAATGAGTTTTTCTCACGAGGGATTGCACGGTGCGTGCAACCAAACACCTCCCTCGGATGAGCAGCCTCACCAGGGGCCGCGCGAGGTGCAGCCTTGCTTCGAGCGACGGCCCGAGGTCAGCAGGTCACAGCAGACGAGATCACACGCAATGCCGAGTCTTCTTATTATTCTTCCTCCTCCTCCTCCTCCTCCCCCCGTCCTCCTTTTTCTCCTCCTCCTTTGGGCGGAGACCTCTGCCGGTTCAAGGAGGAAAAGGTGCGAATTACGCACCAGACGCCAAGGTTTTCGAGCGCTACACATATTTGGGGTCGACGTTGGGGAAGTGATTTTCCAGTCGTTTGCGTCTGCGTGGCTGCGGCCACCTAACGCGGCCATGTTCATCTTAGCCCCCGCCTCTGCTCCTCCAGCGGCACCTCCTGCTGCTTGTCCTCTCCTCTTGCCGTCCTGCTGACGTGCAGTCAAGCTGCAATGCGCAAGGACGCACACGCAAGCACTGCCCCTGTCCCTGTACCCCTTCTCTAATTTCTATTCAGTTTCATCCGTTACAAAACATGCTATGCGCGCACACTCGTGCATCACATACCACCAGTTACCTAAACCCCCTTGCAAACAGAAAGCGGTACCAAGTGCACGCGGGCGCGTCGTCGCGCGCGCATGCCGATGTCCTGCCAGAGAGAACCCCTGGCTTCCGTCGAATTTTAAATTCGAGCGTCCCGATAACATCTGCAAATCACATGTTTTCGCAACAAGATTGTGTAAGAAAGCTTGTGCTTAAATTATTGCAGATTATTATGAAAACCATCGGTGTTTCAACAGTCTCAGAACATGCTTCCAAACGGGCCTTTCGATTGCGCATGTCGAAATCGCTCGAACGCCCTTGCGCGCGTGTTGTCGCAAGAATCCTTGCAAAACATGTGACGATGTGCGCACGCCCGCGTCGTCGCGTGCATACCGAAATCCTTCAAACATTTTTGATGTCGTAAGGATTTCACAAGTGAGTGTCCCGGAAACACTTAAGAAACATCGCATTCCAACATTGTCATTGCACTCTGCCAAACGAGCCTCCCATGCCGCGTGTCGTCATCATTCGAACGCCCTTCCGCGCGCGCTGGCGCGGCACGATTCGTGTCAAAAGATCAGTGCGGGCCACTCTCGCGCGTCGGCCGCGCGCGCATGCCGAACTCTTTCCAAAATTTTCAGCACCGACGCGAGAAGGCCGTCGTCGTCGTCGTCTGCGTGATCAGCACTGGCGCCGTCACTGGCCTTCCCGTCGTTGTTGCCACCATCATCACCAGCATCGCTACTATCATCATCGTGTATGCCGTTGTCGACGCTGCCATGATACATTGTTCGCTCAAGTCTCCGACTCGCATTGACGTGCCCGTTGGGAAGTGCCCAGCGGTCAGCGCCACCGCGGCCGCGTCGGTCGCGGCAAGCTGAGTGGCTGGTGCGCGCGCGAGCATGCGCGGGTTAGCGCGGCCGCAGAATCACCAGCCAACGCCAAGCAGTCATCGCAATCGCCGCCGCATGGGTTTTGCAAACCATGTTGCGGGTGGGTGGGTGTGAAGATTGCGCGAGCAGTGGAGTTGACAATTTCAAGTTCGGCAGGGTGGAATCCACTCTTTTCGAGTCTACCTCCAAGAAAATTCTTCTCGAATCTGAAATCATGAAAATGGGGTACAAGCGCGCGTGCCCGATGAGATGCAGTTTCGTCCCCGCTGGCTTGCATGAGCTCCGTCTGGGGCTGTGGACCGACACCGGGCCGGGTTGCGCCATGCCCTTTTCGAGAGCCGCAGACAGGCGGCAACAGTCCTGTAGAATTAGGAACGCAATGCAGGCGGTGATCGCTGAAAGAAGTGTACGATAGAAGCGAGCGGCCAGCGTGCAGCAGGAGAAAGAAAGGCGAACTGATAATATATAATGGGGTATGCTGCTCTGGCACGTTGGGGTGCAACCTGAAGCGGTGATGTCATGCTCGTAGTGAGTTGGTGTTGATAACGAGCCGATCCAGAGTATTTGGGCAGCAGCAGAGAGAAACAGGCAATGAGAAAGCGAGAGAAGCAAGGCCAGACAAAAACTCACAACCCCTCGTAGCCAGCTGGTTTGTTCGATGGCCAGCCGAAGGATATCAGCAACCACTTTGGGAGACCCAGAACATGATAAGGAAGGCACCCAAAGTGGTCAAGAATCCTAACCCTTGATTTCCGCGTCCGCATTCTGCTCCCACCCCTCCACAGGCTGACGTCGCCATTCGTTCGCAGCGTAGAGCCTCAGAGGTTTCGACTTCTTCCCTGGGGCGGATCTCTCATCTCGAGCCAGTTGTTCAACGGCCTCAGGAGGTAAAGGCCCCAGATGCCGGAACTAGAGGCCAAACACCTCCCGCCGTGTTCTGTTTCACGACGCGAGGGGGGTCCGGCTCCTCCTCCTTCTCCTCCTCTTTCTCCTTCTCCTCCTCCGCCTCCTTCTCCTCCTCATCCTTACCCCTGCCCTCCTCCTCCTCCGCCTCCTCCTCTGCCTCCTCCTCCGCCTCCTCCTCCTCCTCCTCCTCCTCCTCCTCCTCCTCCTCCTCCCTACCCCCCCTCTCTCAGGAGACACTCCGCCGAATGAAGACGGCCGACGGCAAGGAGAAGATCGCCTGGAAGATGCTGGCTGCGGAGCGGGCGGGCGGCGCCGCGGCGCCCGCAGGGGGTCGGGGGGAGAGCGGCCGGTCAGGGTGTTTTCGCCGTGTAGTCGTTGCTCAGAGTGTTATCTTTGATGGGCGCACTTTCCACCACCACCACTATAGGTAGGACGGGGGAGGAGAGGATAGGGAGGTCCTCCTCCTCCTCCTCCTCCTCCTCCTCCTCCTCCTCCTCCTCCTCCTCCTCCTCCCTCCTCCTCCTCCTCCTCCTCCTCCTCCTCCTCCTCCCCCTCCTCCTCCTCCTCCTCCTACCCATGGTAGTGGTGGTGGGAATTCGGCCCCTCAATCTTGGGGGGTTCTAGCTATTTATTTATTTATTCATTTATTTATATATATATATATATATATATGCACCGATCCTGGCCAGGCCCATCTTCCCCCCCCTGGATGGGTACGCCCGTGAGCCAGGCGAAGGCCTCGCGAATGGGATCTGCCCCCCACCCCTGTGGGCGTGGCGCGGTGGAGGGTGCCGGCGCCCCCTCCTTCCTCTCTGGGTGCGGGGTGGTTCGTCGTCGTCGTCGTCAGCGTGGTTGTCGTCGTCGTCGTCGTCGTCGTCGACTTGGGTCTTCGTCGTCGTCGCCCCCCATCCCTAGAACCTTGGGAACCATCCCATCTGTGGGGCAGGGGGGGCCTGTGAGCCCTCCACCCGTGATCGTATAGACCGATCGTGGGCCCAGGATCGGTTGCGCCTCTTACCTTGGCCAGAGAGGCGTGTACACCGATTCTGGGCCCAGGATCGGTCTGGCCAGGATCGGTGCAGTTGCATAGTTGGCCTCCTCTTATTTCGCCGCCTTAGGGAGGATGGGGGAGGGAGCGAGAGAGAAAGCGGGACGGCGGAGGAGGTCCGGGGGTTCGAGATCTAATTTTCTGGGAGGGTTTCGCTCTTTCTGTGCCTCTGAAAGGCTTCGCGTCGCCACGGCTGTATTCCCCTTCGGCGTTCTTGTCAGAACGCGCCCCAAGAGAGGTCAAGGGGCCGATGTTGCAGGGCCGCCGCGAAGAAAAGGGGTCCCGGGAAAGGTGTCTTGAGTGTGTGTGTGTTGCCTCTCCCGGCCTCTCAGGGCCATTTCCAGGGCCCCGTCGGCGTTCTTGTCAGAGCGCACCCCAAGAAAGGTCGAGGGGTCGATGCTGCAGGGCCGCCACGAAGCAAAGGGGTCCCGGAAAAGATGTCTTGAGTGTGTGTGTGTGTGTGTGTGTGTGTGTGTGTGTCTGTGTGTCTGTGTGTGTTGCCTCTCCCGGCCTCTCCCGGCCATTTCCAGGGCCCCATTGGGACCGTCAAAGAGAGATTCGGGACAAGGTTTAAGTCGGGCCCGTCCCTCTACAGGACGAATACTCAAGCAGAGTCCCCCAAAATAGTCTGGGGACGATTTTCTGACTATTTAGAATTTTGCTGATGATTTTTTAATTTTCGTCCAGAACTCGCCTGTAGAAGGACCCGCCCGACCTAAGGATAAGGTGCGGGTTCCAGGGAAAGCCCTGTGTTCCCAGGGCCGTTTCCCCCCAGTACCCCTTTCCTTCCTGCTAGCTTTGGATGTCCTTGATCCTATCCGGGCTTCTGGAGGCCTCCAGAAGGTCCAAAGAGGGCCAGAAGTGCGCAAGAGCGTTGATCCTCCCGATCCCCCCCCCCCTCCGATCCCCCCCCTCCTCGCGCGAGGACAGCAACAGGGACAACATCGCCAGCGCCATCCTGAACAGGCTGCAGACCTGCCTGGGTATCAGGCCCTGCCTCCTTGGTAGGAGGAGGAGGAGGAGGAGGAGGAGGAGGAGGAGGAGGAGAAGGAGGAGCAGGGCGGAGGCGGAGGAGGAGGAGGAGGAGCAGGCAGGCAGGAGGAGAAGGAGGAGGAGGCGAAGAAGGAGGAGGAGGATAATGATGAGGAGGAGGAGGAGAAGGAGGAGGAGGAGGAGGAGCAGGTGAATCATCCATCCACATCGCCTTGCTGACTGCTTTGAACTTCCTTGTCCCCCAAGGGGGGGCGGGGGCTTGTCGCCCCGGCCGGGCTCGCCCCGACAGTCTGGCAAGAGCGAGAGATCCCAGCGCAGCCCGAGGGGCCGGTCCCATGAGAGCTCGTCGTCGCCGTCGTCGTCCTCGTCGTCGTCATCGTCCTCGTGCTCGTCCTCGTCCTCGTCCTCGTCGTCGTCGTCGTCGTCGTCTTCGTCGTCGTCGTCGTCGTCCTCGTCGTCCTCGTCGTCCTCGTCCTCGTCCTCGTCCTCGTCCTCGTCCTCGTCGTCCTCGTCCTCGTCCTCGTTGTCCTCGTCCTCGCCCTCGTCCTCGCAGAGCAGGGCTCCCGGGCAGCGCCCGGGGGCCCGCGCGGCCACAAGCCTCGCGGAGCAGCCCCTCTGGGGCGCGGGCAGAGCACGGCCCCGCTCCCCGCCCCCTCGGGGGGGGGCGGGGCGCGGGCACGGCCCCGCCCGCGGCAGCCCCGGGGGGGCGGGTGCAGCCCCGCGGCGAACAAAAAGGGGCATAAACATAAATAACCTCTAGGAGAACAGAAAGTGACATAAACATATAAAAGTGACAGAAACAAGAAGTGGCATAAACAGGAACATTCATACATAGTCAAGCAATACCAGCCTGGGGACGATGCTCTGATCGTTTTATGCTTATCTGTTGCAACTGTTGTCTGACTGTTTCCCACTCTTCGCCCAGAATCCGCCTGTGGGAGGACATGCCTAGGGGAACGAACAATGACATAAACATGATAACTCGGAGGTCCGTGCGGATTTCTCGGATCGGCGCTGGGGCCCCCCTTGGCGGCGCCTCCGGCGCCGGCCCTGGCGCGCTCCGCGCGCCATGGAGGGGGGCCCAGCGCCGATCCGAGAAATCCGCGCGGACCTCCGAGGGTTTATGTTTATGTTTATGTGACTTGTTGTTCCCCTATAGAGTCGGGAGCGCGGGCGCTCCAGGCCTCCCCAGGGGGGTCGGCGTTCAGCGGGGGGCCCTTGCCAAGAAACGCCCTGCTCTCTCTCTACAGTCGGGGCCCTGAAGAAGGAACCCTTTTCGTTGGGGAGGGGCTCCGTGTTCCTTGATTGCTTCACAGTTTGCCTTGGGTTTTCCTTTGGTTTTCGATGGGGAGTCGAAGTTCAACTTGTGGATGAAAGGGGCCTCGTTCCTTATCTAGGGTTCCTTGGGTCAACGCTCCCACTGTATAGCATCTTCTCGTGGTCTGGCACTCTGGGGGGTCGCACGGCGAGCGGCGGGAGTCCTGTCGATGCCATTGCGCCGCGGCGGCACGCGGGCCACGCGAGGCGCGCGCGTCGGCTCCATCTCGCAGGCGCCGACGGCAGGTCGGCCCAGCACGGTCGGCCCAGACAAGCAGCTTGCCTCCAGGGTGCCCCGGGTGTCCTGGGTTTCGGTGGCTTTGCTGGGGAAGGCGTCACGCTCCCACACCAAAAGTCCATGGACGTCCTGGGGTCTCAGGGTTGGGTTTCTCGTGGTAGGGCTCTTGCGCGCTGGCCTCCGCTGTACACAGATGGGGTCGGAGGAGTGCGGCTCGATGCGGAGCCCGACTTTCTCCGCGCTGGCTTCGCCGACGCACCGCCGACGCTGCCGATGCCTCGTCGATGTCTCGGTGATGCCTCGGCGATGCGGCGGGACCCGACCCCATCCGCTCGAACCTTATCGGTCAGGAGGGGGAATAACACACACACAGACACAATGATTTGTCGATTCCCAGAAAATCTAGGGAAATATGGGAAGTGGGCGGGGAAGACAGAAACCCAGAACATATGGGCCCCAGGGCCCAGGGCCCTTTCCGTCTGGAAGGCCTCGAAGCACAGCCCTGGGCAGCCCCGGGGCCGTTCTGAAGGAGTGCATGTCGGGCCTGCGCCTCGGCACTCGCTCACGGCTAGTGCGTGGGCAGGGTCAGACACGGCCAGGGGCAGAAGTCGGCGTTCTGGCTGTGTCCCCTTGGCAAGAATCCTGTTCGTCTATCGTTGAAGCTGGGCCCCACGCACGGTAAGGTTGCATGCCTCCCCGCCGTCGTCGACTCATTTAGACTTTCAGCTGTCGATGCTTCTGGAACTTCTACGCGCGTTTGTCCGTAGACGTATACGTTCCTATACGCATACACATGTGTCTTCCAACCCTTGCGAGGCTCCCCGCGCTCGGATCTATCTAAGCGGTGGGAGGGAGAGAGAGAGAGAGAGAGGGAATGATGGACATTCAGAGGGGAAGGTGCGGAAGAAAGGCATAGGGGGCAGGGAGGCATGGGGGAAGTGAAGGGGCGCAGGAGTGAGAACACGCGAGAAATGCATGCAGTCAGAGCGAACACAAGCATTGGTCAAAGAGACGGCGGTGGCACGATACAGTTTGCATCGGGCATGATGGGCACGATGTGCGTATGTATAATTTACGACGGTGCCTTTGAGGAGCTGCACAACCAGAGCGCTCAGCAAATTGAAGGAGCTCATTAAGCAGGACCCCTTGGACGAGGAGGAGGAGGGGGAGGAGGAGGAAGAGGGGAATACGATCGCTGCTGCCGGGGATGTCGGACTGCAGGCTGAGAGGACATGCGACGCAGTCGCGCAGAATGCCCGCAGAACACATCCGTTGCCTCTGAAGTGATGGACTGTGCTATCCTCGATTCGCACAAGAAGGATGCCCTGGCGACTAGACGCCATGGAGCCTGTGGGCGGCCCATAGGGGCCAGACGGATCGCGAGGAGGCGGAGGAGGAGGAGGAGGAGGAGGAGGAGGAGGGGCCATCTGTGGTTGTCCGCCCCTTGCTAGGGAGAACGTCGTAGAGTGGCTGCAGTGGCCTCTATCGCTCAACACGAGGCGCGCGGGGGGGCAACGCGGGCACCCGCCTTAGCGCACAGCACCGCCCCAAGATTATGGTCAGCACGTGCCGCGCAGCACGGGTTGCTCTGCACGTGGAGCCTGAGCCACGCGCAGTGGGGGTCGGCCTACAATTCAGCCGACCTCAACCAGATCAGGGATGTTCCGGTCGGTGCCTTGAGGCGACGCGCTTGGTTCCGCCAGCTCTGATGGTCTCTGGGAGGCGCCAGCCCTCGTGCTCCTCGCATCCGCCCCTGCGAACACTTCTCAATGCCGGCGTCGAGGTGCTGCCCGCCGCGCAGGTGCTCTTTCTTGCCTTTCTGGGCTCAAGGCTGGTCGGAGATCTCGCAGGGACGGTGCTCTTCTGCTGTGCCCCGCACGCCACCCTCCAGGCTTGTCCGCAGGAGCCTTCTTGGAGCTATCTTCGGGCCTCTGCGGAAGTTCCCAGGGCTCTCTCAAACCACCTTTCAGCCCTCCTGGGGCATCCTCGGACCATTGGGACATTTGGAACGCACCCTCGGCCAAGACTGGCAGCCTGAGCGGCACATTGGAGCTGCAAGGAGCCATCTTGGTGTTTCTGTGTGGCGGCGCATCTGAGTAATATCGCGGCCTTGTTGGACCACCTTGGGGGCATCATGGGGTAGCACGGGCGCAACAACGAGAGGCACGTTTACAGGAACACATCATTAGAATCCGTAGTTTACGGGCCCTCCAGCCACCTGTGTGACTTCACTTGGGGTTCTCGAGGGCGGTCTTGTGAGCCTGTTGAGTCGCCCTCGGGTTCCTTCGGGGCTTTTGGAGCGCCCTGAGGCTTCTGGTTGGCTTTCCTGGGGCACCCTGGATCCTCTTGGCTGTCTGGCGTCGAATTCTCAAAGCAATCGGGTGCGACCAGAGCTTTGAGCAGCACGTGTGAGGAGAACGCCGTGAGCCTTCATCTTTCGCACGGCAGGACGAGGTCATGTGTCTTCTTAGAAGGCGAGGGCCCCCGCCTTTTCCAGCACACTCCCAGCACACGCGCAGGGGCTTGTATATGATTTTGCCCCTTCCCCCCCCCCTCCTCCTCCTCCTCCTCCTCCTCCTCCTCCTCCTCGCTCCTGTGATCTCTAAGTTTCTGAGCCGTGTTATGCGTCAGGCCCCTGACTCCTCGAGCAAATAAGGGCGAGCACCGTATGCGGCGTAAAGGGAATTCGGAACCGCGCGCATCGACATCTGATTCACTGGAGCTTCAACTCGTGTCTCTTCTGTTCCAGAGAGCATCGGGCGTGGGCCCAAGAAGAGGTCGCTGCTGCCCTATAGGGGCGTAGAGAGCGTGGCGGTCAGGAGACGGGGCAGGAGACGGCACGGTGGCCGCCTGGAAGCCTGCCCGAGGCCCGAAGAAAGCCCCCCCCACGGCTTACCAGCCTCGAACGTATCCCTATCCCTAAGATTGACACGCCAAAAGGCGATAACAATCCTAGGGATTCGTCTTCAAAAATGAGGGAATCCCTAAGATTGGCATCGTGATGAGGAGGTGCCCAGCATAGGGATGGGGATATGTTCCAGGCTGGTAAACAGCTGGATCTCGCATGGAATTGGAGCGTCGAGCGGCCCCTGGAACGAGAAGCGAGGCGGCCCAGCAGCAAGACAGCGGCGCAGGAGAGCACCCCTGCGGGCCGGAGGAGGAGGAGGAGGAGGAGGAGGAGGAGGAGGAGGAGGAGGAGGAGGAGGAGGAGGAGAGGGAGAGGGAGGAGGAGGAGGAGGAGGGGAGGGCAGCAGGAGCAGGAGGATGAGGAGGAGGAGGAGGAGGAGGAGGGAGGAGGAGGAGGAGGAGGAGGAGGAGGAGGGAGGAGGGAGGGGGGGGAGAGGAGGAGGAGCAGGAGGAGGAGGGAGGAGGAGGAGGAGGAGGAGGAGGAGGAGGAGGAGGAGGAGGACCCCCTCCCCCTCCAACTTATGGACCCCCGCCTCGCCCGCGCGCGCGCCCGCCCGGGCCCTGGAGCCCGCGCGTTGGGGGGGGCGCGTCGGGCGGCGTCGCCAGGGGGGGGGGCCGCGCGGCGAGCTCGGCACGCCGGGCGGCCTCGGCGCGCGGCGCAGCCGCCCAGAGTCGGGAGGGGAAAGTCTAAGCCGGAGTCATGGGGGGAACATAAATGAGGGGTTGAACAGAACCCCCAACAGTGACACGTCGATTAGTGAATTGTCCGTTTTCGGTTTTCGAGAGGGCGCCGTGGCCGTTATTTTCCAGGCTTGCGCCCATCAGGTCTGGGCCTCGGGTCGTTTTCACTACACCACGTTCTACTAAAGGGAGGTCTGTCCATCCCCGACAAATGGGGGGGACCGGGGTAGGCGCAATAGTTCATGCAATAGTTGGCGCTTGGATGTAATAGTTTGCGGCGTGGATGCGATAGTTCCGCGCGGGTGTTGCTTCGTCTTGTTTCGTGCGCAATAGTGCAGGCGGTTTGCAATGGTTCGTGCCCCCTCGCAATAGTTCGCGTGCAAGAGTTAGGCAAACGAACTATTGCACCTACTGCCGTCCCCCCTCTTGTGTTCCCCCCATTGCTCCAGCGTACAGAAAAAACACACAGGCACAATTGATCGTCGATTCCCCCGAAAATATGGGAAGGTATGGGAATGGGGGGGGAAGACAAAAGCACCGAAAATATTGGAAAATATGGGGAATCCTGTTATTTGTGTGTGTTTGTGTGTGTGTGTGTGTGTGTGTGTGTGTGTGTGTGTGTTTAGTTGTGTGTCCCAGGGCCCCTTCACAGAGTTCCGGGCTGAGCCCTGGGGAGTGGGTGGTCGAGCGTTTGCGGCTGCGGCTGCGCTTGCCTCCGTTGGTCAAGGGGCGCACGTCGTGGCGCTGCCCTCGGTGGCGATGGCATCATCTCCATCGCCGGGCTTCGTTCCCGAACCTGCTGGCGGCTCAAGCGAGCGCCTTGGAAAACACACACGGACCCGGCACCCCCCCCCAACCCGCCTCCCTCCCTCCCTTCCTCCCTCACTCCCTCCCACCATCCCTCCCTCTCTCCCTCCCTCCCTCCCTCCGTCCCTCCCTCCCTCCCTCCCTCTCTCCCGAGGGCTCCAGTCGAGTCCGGCGTCTGCGGGCCGATATCTCTGGGCCTCCAGGACTTCTGGGGGCGGGGAGCCCGCCCCCGGGGAAGCGCCGCGGGCGAGAGAGCTCCGGGGGCCTGCGGTTCGTAGGAGCCGAGTTGTCAGAGGCTCGGGTTCACGCCGGGCGCAGCCCGCATCTGGTCCTCGCGAGGTGGATTCTGTAGGCTTACGCCACACCGCCGACCCCTTGTTTTTTTTGGAGGCAATCTTGGACGACGGAGGCGGAAGTGGCGGCGAACCAGTACGACTCGAAAGATGCGGGGGAGAGGCTTTGCAGGGCGTGCGCCCGCAACGAGAAGGGTGGGCGGAACAAGAAGGCGGACGCAGAGAATCGCAAGCGGAAAGCAGAGGCGGACGCGAAGCCTCTAACGTGCGCGGCGTGCAAAGGCAGGCTCGGGTTCACGCCGGGCGCAGCCCGCATTTGTTCCTCGCGAGGTAGATTTTACTGAACTGAGCTGAGCTGAACTTCTTAGCTGAACTGAACGGACTGGTCGCACCCCTTGCGCGACGGTTTTCTGCTCGGCCGCCGGGGGCGGCGGCCTATGGCGCAACCGATCGGAGACGGTTTTCTTTTCGGCCGCCGAGGGCGCAACTTATGGCGCAACCGAGAGGAGACGGTTTTATTCTCGGCCGCCGAGGGCGCAACCTATGGCGCAACCGATGGGAGACGGTTTTGTTTTCGGCCGCCGAGGGCGCAACCTACGGCGCAACCGATAGGAGACGGTTTCATTCTCAGCCGCCGAGGGCGCAACCTACGGCGCACCGATAGGAGACGGTTTTATTCTCGGCCGCCGAGGGCGCAACCTATGGCGCAACCGATCGGAAACCGAGCTGGAGCAGGAGGAGGATGAGGAGGAGAACAAGGAGGAGGAGGACGACGACGATCAGGATGGGGAGGAGGACGGGGAGGAATACGAGTAGTGCGAGGACGAAGTGTGGGCATTCGAATGCGTGCGGGGCTACGCCCGATTTATGCTCGCCGTTTGGGCTGGCAATGGGGCCCACGCCGCGAGTTGTCTTGTGATTCCAGAGTCGATCACGCAATTTCGCGTCTGCTGAATGGAAGTGTGTCCCCGTGCCCTAGCTATCTCGCAAGCCTGCCGAGAATCCCCAATTTCTGTTGCGCCCTCAGCAGAGCATCTGCCAACAATACACTTCGATCAAAGTGGCATTCAAGTTGGTTTCGAGCGTCTCTTAATATGAGCCCCCCCTGCATGGCGTACTTCGTTTACTGTCGCTCACTGACATGCAATGCTGTGAGATCGTCCCCTACCCATCCTGTTGCTCAGGACCCCTACAACAGCACATGGCTGGCGAAGGTCACTGAGCGCAACGAGGGTGATTGAGAGACTGCTCCCGCGACTGCCCCAATGCCGTCCTCGTGGACTCCACCCCCCTCCCTGTCTTCCTCGCTGCCTTCGTCGTCGCCGGGTTTCGAAGGGGAGAACAGGATGACCTGTGTTCTTGAGACCCTGGGGGGGATTTCCCGGTGTCGTCGTCGGTGCTGTGGGCAGGTGCGGCACGCGGCGTGCGGACCCTCTGGCCGTGCCGCGGCCTGCCGCAGGTCGACGAAGCTCAGGAGGGGGAAAAACATACAGACACAATGAATCGTCGACTCCCAGGAAAAGATGGGAAAATATGGGAAGTGGGGGGGGGGAGGACAAAAGCCCAGAAAATGTGTGAAAATATGGGGGCTCTTTTCGTTTGTGTGTATTTCTTTGTGTGTCCCGGGGCCCCCTCAAAAGTGCGATAGTGCCGCTGCCATGAGGCCCTTCCTCGCCCAGGGCCGTCCCCCTGCAAGCTTCGGCGGCCAGCCAGGGTGGGGGGGAAGGCTCGGCAGTCTCCCGGGCCTTCTGGTGAGAAGTTCTCTGAGACACGGAAGGCCTCTCAGGAGGCCCGAGGGCTTCCCGATGAGTGCCGCCGCCTTCTGCGAGGGCCTCCTCCTTCTCCTTTCCCCCCCCCCTCGCTCGCCTTCGAAAGCTTTTTCTTCTTCTTTCTTTGTTTTTTCTTGTCTCTCTCTCTCTCTCTCTTTCCCAGTCCTCCTCACGTCGTGAAGAGGTTCAGGACTCCAGGTTCTGAGAGCGGCTTGCTGCGGGCAGGGGCCCTCCCCGGCCCCCGTGGCCGCCACAGCAATGGCTCGGGATGCGGAGCCGTCTCTGCGGAAAGGCTGGAGCCCCCCAGGGGCGCACGCTGCGAAGGAAGCGCGAAGACCCCAGGCTCCTCCTCCTCCTCCTCCTCCTCCTCCTCCTCCTCCTCCTCCTCCTCCTCCTCCTCCTCCTCCTGGGGCGTCTGGAGGCGCGTCCAGTGGAAACCCACGCCAAGAGTCATTCGGCATGCCTCCAGGGTGCCCTGTGTTTCCTGGGCTTCGATGGTGTTGGACTGGGAAGCGTGACGTTCCCACGCCAGAAGTCCATGGACGTCCTGGGGTTCCTCAGGGTTGGGTTTCTTGTGGAAGGTCATGGGCTCCCTCGCGTCTCACCCTCGTCGTGCTGCCACCAGAGGCGAGCAGATGTGTCTTCATTGGCTCCGGGCCCCCCTGCGCACCGCCCTCCCGCCCGCAATCCCGTCCTTCTGTGCGAGCTTCAGCATCATCGCCCAGGTCCCATGCCACAGCCATGGCCTGTTCCTGCATTCTCGATAGACTCTCATCGTCACCATTTTGCCTGCTGCTGCTGCTGCTGCCTCTTCCTCTTCACCCTCTCTTCACCCTCATGATTCTGGTCTTGCTCCTGGTGCTGGTCTTTTTCCTTCTCTTTGCCCAGCAGTGCTCTTGCAGCATCTCTCAAAGTTGTCTCAGCCCAACTCCAATTCCTGGTGGATACAACTCTCTCTGCGCTCCGTCTCCGTCATGCGTTCGTCGGGCGCTAAGGTCATGAACAGTACCATCGTGAGAACGATTTGCTGTGTCCTCATCATCGTGAGCTTGCCACCATATTTGCAGCAGGGGAGGATGCAGTGTGGTGAGTGCGCAGTGCCTGCAAGAGTCACCAGTCGTGCACACCTGTGGTAGCCGATGACACCGCCCATTGTCGGAGTTCTGTAGCTGGCAGTTTTGTTCGCGCAGTCGTCGAAGGGATGTGGAATCATAGCCGGTGGCCGCAAGGGGAGAGCTTCGCCGCGTCGGGCCCGCGAGGGCGCACGGCACGCCTCCGATCGCCAGTGCGCTGGTCGGTGGCTCGGGCGTGCCTGGCGCCCGGGCAGGGACGGGACAAGATGCCACCCTGGGCAGCCGAGCGGCGGAAAGATCCCCAGGGCCCACTCGCATCCAGCGGCGTGCTCGATCTCCCCACAGGGCCCCCCTCACAAGGGCCCTCCTCACAAGCGCCCTCCACAGCGTCGTGCTCGATCTCCCCACAGGGCCCCCCCTCACAGGGAGTGCACCACGGCCGGTGGAGGGCGAACGCCTCGGGCGAGTCGCCGCAGCCCCCTGCCGCCTGGCGCGCCCGTCGCTTCCGAGAGCTGGGCCCTCGTGGTGCCCTCCGCTCCCTCCCCCTTCTCCGTGTCCTCCTCCTCCTCCTCCTTCTCATCCCTTCCTCCTCCTCCTCCTCCTCCTCCTCCTCCTCCTCATCATCATCATCATCATCATCACCATCATCATTCTCCTCCTCCTCCTCCTCCTCCTCCTCCTCCTCGCTCCCCTCCCCCTCTTCCTCCCGCGGCCGCCCCCGCCCGTCTCCCTCGCCACCCCCCCTCCTGCAGCTGCCGGGCACTCGGCGCCCGCCGCCTCTCCCGGGCCCGCGCGCGCGCGTGCGGCCTGCCTGCCTGCCGCGCTGCGGCAGGAACCCCTTCGGGGTTCCACCCTGAAAAACAGGCTCGAGGCGCTCGGGCCGGACGAAAGGGGGGGATTGCGAAAGGGGGGTCACGAATGAGCTGCATGCAGCCGGTTTCGGCCCCACCGAGGGGCCCATTCCTCGATACATAAGGCGCCTCCGGCGCCGGAAGGCGCCGGGAAAATCAGCTACGTGAGCTGATTCTCAACCCCCCCCTTTGCGATCCCCCCCTTTCGCCCGACCCGAGGCGCGTCCAGCCCAGGCGGCGAGTGCCGCACGCCTTCGCAGCCACCGCTACGTGCGCTGAGGCTGCTGCCCCCTCCTGGCCACGGGGCGCCCGTGCCCCTTCTCCTCCTCCACTTGACGGTACTGCGTAGCGTCTTTCGTTGTCCCCAGTCTGCTCGCTACCGCATGCCTGACAGATCCTTGCGTTTGCTGCGCAGCCAGAAGGGTTGCTTCTAAACGTATGGATTCCCTTCCTCTGTGCTCCCTGCTCCCTGCCTTTCTCCTACTCCTCCCGCTCCCGTGCCTCAGTAATTATCATTTAACTTGTTCGTTGCGTCTTCAGCACGATAAGGGCCGTAGTCATTTTTCATTTGTGTTTATTCCGAGGCGGCGTCTTGGCGGATTGGTTTTGTTCCCCCATCTCCTCTCGTTGTCTCGCTCTGCGCCCGTTGTGTGATGTCGTTGGCTGTTCCGCTCACGTGGGATATCTTGCTGTGTAGCGCTCCTCTGTCTTTCCAAGGGCTTGTTCTCCGCATGTGTTTGCCTACTGCAGACCGGTGCCGGCGGCGTTCCTCTTCTTGCCCGGGTCCGAGGCTACTGTCGGGGTTCAAAGACGTGGTCCTGAGAGATGGGGCCCAAAGGACGAGGTGCCTCAGACAACGTAAATCCGCCCTTGGATCCCTTCTTGTCTTCAGAGAGCCTCATCTCTCAGAACCCCATCTGTGAACTAAGCCAGAACTCGGCTTTGCCGACGTTTTTTGACGAGCGCGTCCTGGATTTTGTCGGTCCAGTTTTCGTGGGATGTTCGCAGCGGGAGCTCGCGTCCAATTTCAGATTGGGTCTCGTCATTTTTTATGATGTCCCCGTCAGGCCAACCCGAGTCCCCCGTACCCGAGTCTTACGTCTCCCCGACACATTTTCAGGACAACGGTTGAGCTCCAGTTTCAGGCAGTGCGCTGGTTCCCTCTTCTTCCTTCCTCCTCCTGCCCTCCCGTCCGCCTTCCGCCTTCTCCTCCTCCTCCTCCTCCTCCTCCTCCTCCTCCTCCTCCTCCTCCTCCTCCTCCCCTTTGGGTGCCGGGAATAGGATGGTTCCAGGGCGCAGCCTGTTGTGGGTCATTCTGCTGTTTCTCCCCACAAAGTTCATGCACCAAGTGTGTGCCTGCGAGTGATCCCTTGAGTTTTGTTCCTCCTTCAAGATCCCGACCCCCAGAGAGCTCCTGGGAAGTAGAGCGAACGGAAGGCAGAGATTGCCGGGATTACAGTCATCGGGCAGCGATAATGCATATTCCACCACTCAAGCAACAGTTCGATTCTCATTATGACTACTTGACTTTGGGAATCTGGTCGCGATTAATGCGATCTCAATGCTCGCGACAAGCTTTGGAAATTGGTAACGTACTCTCCTATCCCCTGGGCTGGGACTTGCCGAAAAGACCACGGACATTACGATGCCAGATGCCAAGGATGTGGCGATACATTAGGGCGTGCGAGGGGTGGGCCCAACCTCCAGCGATGTGCGTACGGCACCCCTGTCTGACCCGAGGCACCCTGCCATCCATAAAAGTATTGGGCACGCGTTCACCTTTTTGGCCGATCGGACACGGTAGCGAACGGGGCAGATCTTTTCGCAAACGCTGCAGTTCTTGCCGTTCGCGGCCAGGGCATGGGCAGTCGCGGGGACAACGAAAGGGAGGCAGATATGGATGGGCGAAGGAGGGCGGATAGACGAAAGGCAAGACGATAATCACGATGATGAGGATATTGACGACAGTGATGATCGTCATTATTTTCGTCATTATCGTCGCTAGTATGGCCATAATTGTTGGCATGATCGTCGTTATCGTCATCGTTGTCATCAGGGTACGAATGAAGAGGGAAGAGGGCGAAAAATGCAGACAGTGACGCGCGAAGTTGAATGCTGGCTTCATCGGGGCGAACACGCACGTGGCCCTGAGGCGGCATGCGCCCGGTCTGGATTTTCTGCCGTCGCCCACTGCCTCGTTCTCATTGCGTCGCGCGGCCGTTGTGCATGGGGGCCCACCCGAGTCCCAGCCCCGTGCTTCCCATGCTCATTTTGCCCTTGCTGCGCTGCCTTGTTTGCCCAATGCCCGCTGGCGATCCCACTCAGCAGCCGTATGTCTCAGTTGCTGATGTGTCCATGCTGTCCAAGTCGTGCTGACATATTTGCGTGACTCTACGCTGACGCTTGGATGGGACGTCAACCTGAATGCAGAACGTTGTTCGTCTCGTGTGCGCAGTAACGCGTTCGCGCCCGACACCGCGGAAACCAGGTCGTGCTGTTCAGATAGAAGATATTGAGCCGTGGCCAGTCGTCTACTGCTTCCCCTCCCTGCGCTGGCCGCCTGTCCTTTGCCAAGCGAGGCCTGTCTGCTCGTTAAGTCTCTTACTGTGTACCTCCCCCTGCCTCCTCATCCCTGGCCCGCGTCGTTGGCCTTGATCCTCTACGGTGCCTCCACGCCCCCCCTCTCTCACCGACGCCCCCCCCCGCCAGACCAGCAAAGCTAGCGGGCTGGGGCAAACGCCCCCCATACCCTCCTGGGCGACTCGATGACATCGCGCCGGGTTTGTTGCC